AATAAGAGTGGAGACATTGTGAACACTCTCCAAGTTTCTGTGTAATTCTAGTAGAATAAGTAAATTGGTATCCAATTTGTAGCTGCAAGTAAAAGGGTATAATCTGAATTTAGCACACTGTGGACCCCTTCTTGAACTGAGACTCCTAGATGTTCCTGTAGCATATGCATATACTGTAATACTTGCTAATGACTACTTTTTTTTTTTTTCTTCTTAATATCCTATAGCAGCAAACATCATGCTGTGTCTGTGAAAGTAATGTATCTGGTTTTTGCCTTCGCTGTATTCTAGTTGTGGTTTGCTGAAGCTGTGGATTTAACTATTGAGTAATGATTTCCTGGTTTAACAGTCTTTAACAGAGTGAAAAACGTCTGTTAACGAGCTGCACTCATAAACACACGAGCGCAATGATAATTGTCCTCAGTGGTGTGAATTGCAGGGGATTTTCACTGGGTGTATGCACTGCGCTGTGATTGTGGTTTGTTGTAGGCTTACAGGAACTCTCAGCTTTAAAATAGAAGGCAGTCTAGCTATGGCAGCCTAGAGCTCAAAACACTATCCAGAAGCTGAAGAACTACAGAAATGTTTAAACTAGTTCTTTTGTTGCTGTCTAGCCTACTAGTGGAAAAGCAAACAAAGAAAGCAACAACAAAAAAAACCCAAAACAAATGCCAAAACAAAACACCTGCTATGCGCCTCTCTAAATGTTATGTGTCCATATAGAACCATTTTCTTCTAACTAGCTTTTGAGTGGAGTATGGTGATCTTTATGATAATTTTGTAACTGCTATAGTGACAGCCATATACTAGTGTGATCCTCTGATTGTTGAAATGGAATAGGAGGTTCAGCTGGTAGCAGAACAGAGTTCTGTGCTGAGGCTTGGAAAGGATTATTTTCATGCCCAGTTGCAAATTTTTTTAAAGGAAAATTTAACACTTTTATTAGAATAGGTTTAAAATGTTCAATTACTCTACATTACTGATTTCAGTTATCTTATGTTCTTCCTAGCTTCTTCCTTTTATAATCTCCCTAGTCTTATTCCTACTTTGTCACCAAAAAAATGCACCTAAGCTTTCATGTCCTTAGCTTATTCTTGTATTGTGCTGTACTTCTGAGATGAGCAAAACAGGTAAGACCTTGACTGTTTACATACTGTTATTTCTGGAGGCATTCAACTGGATTTACTTATGTAAAAATAGTATCTGGAGTGGCTCTATGAAAATAAAAAAGTTACCACTCATTAAAAGGAAGTAGCTTTTCTGTTTTCAGCAAGACAGTTAATATTTTACTTGCTAGTAAAATGGTCTTAAAAGCAAGTATCTGGAAGAAAGATAGCCTATGATCATGAGTCAACATCCTAGCTTTTGAGTAAGTTAGGAATAAATCAGTAGATAGCCCAAACTTGATGTTTGACTGGAGTGATCTGCCCTGATGGCTTAAGAGTGGGAAGGGCCATATTAGGTTAACTTCAGTTCTGCTTGGGTCACTGCATCTCTTTATTTGGAGAGGTGGGCGCTCCAGCAGTCTGGTAAGTTGTCTTCATTAGATCATCTAAATTGTGTTGATGAGAGCTGTTTAAAGCCAGCTGGTAGGAAACACGGGGCCAAAGTATTTGGATGAAATGAATACAGGTTGCCTGAACGTGGCCCTGCGATCTCAGTTGTGCCACCCCTTGGGGAGAAGATAGTAAGGCTTTACCAGTATCTGATCAGCACCTGCATCACTCTCCAGAGCGTCCCAGAAATCATACGACTTTCTACCAGCATAAAAACAAGGCTGAGAGCCTGTGAGGGTACAGCAAGACGGGGCAAAGGTTGGTGACTAGCTCAGCAAGCAGCAGGAAGAACAGGGGATTGTAGCAGGAGTTGCTTAAGAGTTGGAAGATTTGGAAAGGTATGTGGAAATGATAAAGGGAGGAGGGTTTGGGCAGCTATGGAAGACAAAGGCTTTTGGGGGAAAGGATGGGAAATGTCATGAAGAGACTCAGGGCTGTCTCCAAAGTGTGGTGGCTTTTTCTCTATATTGATCCAAGTACAGAAATTCTTCTGCTGGAATTGAAGCAGCATGTTTTGGCTTAGCAACTATAATGTACTCTCAAATGATATGGAGCAAGTCAGATGATGAATACAATTTCACATCATGTTGTCCCTAGCAATAAATCTTTGCTATCAATTCTTTACTGACTGCTCATTCTTGCCCATATTTTGTAATTTGCAGCCTGCTTTTTAGATGCTTTATGGGTCTGTGCTGTAAAGTAGATTGGTGAAATGGAACAGGTTTTAAAAAAATTGAAACATACTAGTACTGGGAACAACTTTTAACAAACCAACTGGATTATAATACACCCCCATGAAGTTGCAGTAAAAAGAGAACTGCAGTGTGACCTCAGGAGCAAACAGTGGTGGGGAATCGTCTTGAGCTAGGTTTGCCACTGAAGACAAGGTACCCTTTACACCCTCAGGCACTTGTATTTTGAATCACCTTCTGCACAGGGAGAAGCGATTTGCATGTGGAAACAAACCCTTGTAAAGTTCTGGTAACAGAAAGGCAGCGGTATTGGTGTACAGTAATGAGAAATAGGGCTTATGAAGGGGGGTTTAAACACAGAATCCACTTAGCATTTCACTGTAAGGAAATGGCTGACAGACAGAAAGAAGAAATGCCAGGAGTCTGGTGGAATTAAAGAATAGAGAAATTATGATTAATACTATAGTTTATATGCTGCCAGTCTTCTGCAGGGTTTATTTTCAGGTGTGCGTAAGTGTTTCTAGTCATAATACTTAGTTGTAGTGTCATTTTATAAGTACTGTAATTGCAATGTGTGTAAAACAGTAACAGAGAGGACTAATAAAAATACTACTAAAGTTGTAACTGTTCCTTTGTTTAACATACAATGATAGCTAAAGCAAATCCTGAGAGAAAGGCCGGTCTGATAAAATTCAAATGGCAGAAGAGGTAGAAACAAATACCTATAAAACATAGTAGCCAGATTTTCAAGTATCTCAGGTATTAAGGGTTTTTCTCTGCGCCCTCATAGTGTTGTTAGCCTGCAGAGACTTTCTCTGTGTTTGTATGCTAATGAAAAATAAACTTTCTTCGTGGAAAAATAACCTAGCAGGCTAGAGAGGTAGCTCTGCTTCCAGCACTGTTGCCAGGCAGATACAGAGGTAATAGCCCACACAGATCCTGCATCCTCAAGGAGGCTCAGGAAAGATTCTCTCCAATATGAAGAAAATCTTGGGTCTCCCCTTGGTTTTCATCTCCTAAAGTATAACCCCATACACTCAACCAGCATGATCTGAGGAGAATGTAGTTTATGGAACCGTGCTTACATTCCAGTAACCCAAGGCAAAAGAAATAACCTTGCATTGATGTAACAATTAAACTTTCCCTAAGCTGTTACATACTTTGACTGATGCTCTGTATTATTATATGTGACTTACTGATTATATAAAATTCTATAAAGCAGAAAGGTTTTCAGCATTACTCAGAATGGGAGAGTGATGTGAAAGACAACTGCAAAGAAACGTCTTCATTTCCTTCCTCATGCTTAGAGTTAGGAAAATCTTTAAAATTGTCATGTGATGGATATGTGCTGATGGCTGCAATTCTCTAGAAACCTTGAAAATGCAGTTTGGCTTATTGGTGTCCTGTGGTGTAAATGCCAAAGACAGATAGTCTTTGAGATGCTAATGAATTAACAAAAATTGAGAAATAAAAACCATCAAGAGGAATTTCAGAGAAAAGAGGCCTGTGAGCCCTTTTTAGAGGGTCCTGGCAGGCAGGCACAAGAATTCAGAGTAGATTGCAAGCTAACTTTGTGTAGATCTGTCTGAAGTGGGGGGAGGTGAGCTGAAATCCCGCTGAATGCTCTCTGTGCAAGGCTGTTGTCTGGGTTTGCTCAGCTTCCACAAACAATTGTGGTGTTTATATGGAGGCATGTGGGAGACAAAGGTGAAATCCTGTAATATGTTACAGTCATAGTACTTTGAAACTCACCTGCTGGAAATGATATGCTTCTGTTGAAAAGTCTCTTGAGTTACTGCTAGCCTGTCTGAACTCTTCAAATGCTGCCTTTAGCACTCTCCCAGCCTCTGAAATAAATGTCTCCACTGTTCTAGGAGTAACTCAGTCTGTGTTACGAGGCAGAAAGAGAAAAAAAAAATCACCTGACAGGCATTGGCAATGAAGGCGTCTTTGCCTAGTTACCAGAGGCTCTTTCTAGTTCATGGAGAGAAATGAAATTCTGGGATGAATATTTAAACACTAATTTTAAACATCCAACTCGGAATGGATAATGACCACGACTTCACCCTTGTTACCTCAACCTAGCGTGAGATTTGCTTCAGTTAACAATATAGAGCTCTATAGTCACATTCTTTTTAAATCTGTGAATGCAGGTGATCCAGACCTGCTCGTGGAAGGTGCAGGGCATAAGCAGCAGCAGTTCCTCAAGGTCTGTCTTTGTTGCTGGAACATACTCTTGAAAACATTGTTTACGCTCAAGCTAAGCATGGGCCAATTTGGCTTAGTATGCGTAGGGATTCTAACGTTTTTTTTTTTTTTTTAATGTAACACCTACCTTCCTTTTGGCTGGTGTCATCTTCTATTCTTTTGTTACTGTTATCAAACTACTAAAAGTTGTAGCTTTTAATTTAAGGCTGTTTTCATCAATTTCCTGTGTCTTCCTACTTCATGGGACTAATAGCTGTTTTCAGTTGGCAAACACACCTGGAAGTCATGTGAATGTGATACCATATTTGTAATCAAGTAATGGAATATAACCTGCTGATATGTGATTAGATTATTATTTACAGCTGCTTACAGGTAAGCCCACTGCATCAACAAGATGTTACCACAGCCGGTGGATATGCTACAATTATGATACTGCTTTTTTATCTTTTTTATATACCACATGTTCGATGGCATTTGGTTTTGGTCTTGATTAACCTTAATTTTGTTTTTGTCTTGTCTTAGGTTGGAAGATTAAAGCAAGACAATGGATTGGGGAGCTCTGCATACCATTTTAGGAGGTGTAAATAAGCATTCCACCAGCATCGGGAAGATATGGCTCACAGTCTTGTTCATCTTCCGTATCATGATCCTGGTCGTGGCTGCAGAGAGAGTCTGGGGAGATGAACAAGATGACTTTATCTGCAACACTCTGCAACCTGGTTGCAAGAATGTTTGCTATGATCACTTTTTCCCCATCTCTCACATCAGACTCTGGGCCCTGCAGCTCATCTTCGTTTCCACACCTGCGTTGCTGGTGGCCATGCATGTAGCTTACAGGAGGCACGAGAAGAAAAGGCAGTTCAGAAAGGGAGACCAGAAATGTGAATACAAGGACATTGAAGAAATTAGAAAACAGAGGTTTCGTATTGAGGGCTCCTTGTGGTGGACATACACCAGCAGCATCTTCTTCAGACTGGTCTTTGAAGCAGTCTTCATGTATGCATTTTATTTCATGTACGATGGGTTTCGAATGCCTCGCTTAATGAAGTGTAGTGCTTGGCCCTGCCCTAACACAGTAGACTGCTTTGTTTCTCGACCTACTGAAAAGACGGTGTTTACTATTTTCATGATTGCTGTGTCCAGCATTTGCATTCTTTTAAATGTGGCTGAATTGTGTTACTTACTGGCAAAATTTTTCCTCAGAAGGTCTAAAAAAGCTGGAAATCAAAAACATCACCCCAACCACGAGAACAAGGAAGAAACAAAACAAAATGAAATGAATGAGTTGATATCTGATAGCTGTCAGAACACAGTTATAGGATTTACAAGTAGTTAAAGTGGTGTCGATGCTGATGTTCGCTCTTTTTGGAGGGAATGTCCTTTGTTTAGAGGCTGCAAATGAAATTTGTTATATGAAACAATTTAAGCTGGGTTAGACTTCAATATGTAGCGTCAGGTGTCAATTACGCACATCTGAAAAAAGTCAGGGCAGCCTAAGCATGTGAAAAATGCATGAGGGTTAAATAGCCAAGTGAATCTTCTTCCTACGAGTACCCTTACAAACTGACTATGACAAGCGGGAAACCTGCTAATACATCCTGAAAACTACATGCAATAGCAATAAGAACAAAATTCTTTCCAAGCTAGGCATCCTAGTATTACAAGATATTTTGTAATAGTGATAGTTTTTACTTGTGAATTGACAAAATATTTTTCTAAAGTCAAAGATTCCATGTTACTTAAGGTGTTACAGTACACAACTGACTCTGTTTTGTTTCTTAACCAGGCATACACAGATGAACCCTGTAATACCCCTTCCTCTTCCTAGGGAGGAGACAGCGATAAGCTACATCTTTGCAAGCATTGCTTGAGCCTGGACAGGTAGCTTGAGAGCCTTGAGTACACACTGCTGGCTGTAGAGGAAGTTGTGAGAAAGCCCACCACATGTAGTGTGGATAAATGAGGTAGCTAGGTCTTGAGTGCAAAGTCATGATTAAAACTGGCATGACAATATAGATACAGCCAAAGTAGGCTTCCTTTAAACATCTAGCAGACCTGGTAATTTTTTAATTGTGTACTACTAGTTCTATAGCAACATACATAACTTTATGGAAATGTTTATTTCTCTAATGTGTTAGCTGTATTTGTTTCTTTATGCTATATCACATCATGGAACTTTTTTGCTTTTGATTTGTTTGCTTTTTTTTGTGGTAGACTGATGGTGCTGTTATGAAACTAGGGGCTCTTTCTTTTGAAGGACGTGGAAAAGTATCACTGGAAACAGAACAAGTCTTCTGAATAAAAGGCAAACACTTTAACCTCTCTCAATGAAGTAAGAATCTATATGTGAATGCTGGTGAGGTCTTAAGAAGGACAAGTGCTTATGAAAAACTGCCTCCAGGCAGGGGCTTTACATCCACAGTGCATATAGCCCATATCCACGCTCCCAGCCAGAGCACTGGCGCCCCAGTTCTGTTGTCCGTACTCCAGTGAGGGGACGCACATAACTCAAGTGCATGGGAGTGGGTGCTTGTGGGAGGGGTGTGCTGTTGGAAGCAGGAGATCCTGATGGTCAAAGAGATGGGTGTAGTAGAAGCCAGCAGCTATATTGTTTTGTGTGTTTTCTATTTTGGGTCACTTCTCACAATGATAAAAACATCCTGGATGCACTGACCTCAGCAGAGGTTTTTTGGGTTTTGGTGAGGGGTTTTTTTTGTGTGTGGTTTTTTTTTTTTTCTTACCAGTGCAACTGGACTAGCCTCATTGTTTTTGTATCATGAAGCTGCTCTTTGAAGGAGTCTTGATAAAGCACAGGTAACCCTGGGAGCAGAGATGACACTGGGTGCAATTCTCCTGCTCTTGTATCACACTTTTTCTTAAAGGTGCCAGCAGAGCTTTGTGTATGTCCATGCTGTAAGTGGGGTTGGGTTGGTTGGTTATTTTTATGTGTGACCAGTAGAACTCTTAACAGGGTGCAGGCACACGCAGCAGGAGAGTAAAAATACCTAGAGTCAGCTCTGTCCCTGCATGAGGGCCTGAGCTGAGCCCTGTCATTTATCTATTCTCTTCCACTGGCAAACTCCTGATCTTTCCTGCCTTCACAGCACATTTTCTTTTTAATTGCTGTTGTGGAAAGAAATTGTTGCTAGTCTTCTGAATGTGTCTACCGGGAAGCTTGAGGAAAAATTACACGCAAACCTGTATATTAGTGTGCTTGTATTGTTCTTTCTGCAGGTTGAAAATACAAGCAGAAGTGAAAAGTGCCACAAAAGTGTGCCTTTGTAAGCTTTGTTCCTGGTGGCCTCATCATGGCTCCTTCTCTGGGCTCTGCTTCCACTATGGCAGTGGTTTAAATATTTACTTAATGGAGAATGGAGCTGTTCCCTTCTGGTCAGGCATGTGGGCGCTCAGGCTGTACCTCACCAGATTGGATCACTCCCCCAAGTCTGCCCGGGGCAAACAGCAAAGGCTCAGACCTCGTGGTGTGCTGTTCCCTGGGCTGTGCAGGCACAGCTACAACGGTTCCAGAACTGCGTGTCACAGGGCAGCTCAGCTGTGGGCTTTCATCCAGGTCATGCTGTGAATCTCATACCATGTAGGGAATATGAACGGAGATCAGTTAATGATTATGCTTGATCATGTCTCGCTTCTTTCAGAGATCAAATCAATACAGCCTTCTGCTGCATGTCAGTAAACCTGGAAAACACCTTAAGGCAGATACGTTTTCAAACAGAGGAGGGGTAGGTTTTTTTGGATTATGACAAATTGTAGGCCTGCTCAACCCCAGACAGGGATATAACAATAGTTGTCTATATGGTATTTTGATTTCCTGCTTACAAGGTTTCAAACAGTCATTTTTATTCCAACAGTTGGATTTTTCTAGAAGATCAGTTCCACGTCTGTTGTTATTTTAAGCCTGGATAAGTGGGCAAAGCTTAAATGAAGAAATTGGGCGTATGTGGTCCTTTGTGCGCCAGCAGAGTGATGTGCGTGGCCGTGCTGTAAATGGGTTGGAGTTGGCTGGACATTGCCTGCGTGGTAGCAGGACCTGGTACGGTGCAGTCAAGTAGTGCTGCCCCGCTGCTGGGCTGTCCTGGCAGCTAGATGGGCCAGGAGCAAATGTGCCAGTCCCTGTCCAGCTTCCACCAAGGGTGGACGTAAATCAAAGAGCTGGAGCTTATCCAAGGTTTCACTAGTGCCAAGTCATAGACTCATCAGGGAAGGCCACTTGTGACTGAGATGTGTTTAGCTGGGATGTTTCTTATCACATTATGTGCAACCCTAATTATGGACACTCTCCTTTATCTGAAACATCCCCTGACTTTAGTTACTGCCAAGGAAAACTCCCTGATGGTTTCAGGGCCCTCTTTAAATAATCCCTCATCTCCCCTCACCTGAGGCTGAAGTAGATGGTAGAGATGGCAGCTTTTGGGATCTTGTTTCTCCAGGTCACTTTCCCAGGGCTGCAGAACCCTATGGCCTGAGCAGAGGAGGCAGCTGTAGCAGTGCCCGGCAGGGCAGTAGTTAACCCTTCCTGCAGGGAAAAACTGAGCTGCTGTTCTTGGTTTCAGACCTCCTCCTGTGTCTTTGTAAGCTGGCTTGGGCTGCTCTAAACCACAGAGCGAACCTGCTCCCAGCAGGTTTTGTGCCTGCCCTTCCTCGTGCCCCGTAGCCACCCCAGGCGAGAGGATCTTCCCCCAAATCTCTGACCCACTGGTGACTGGCAGTTTGTGCTATACTGGCACCGCCATCACCTCGTGGTAGTTAAGCCAGTTTCTCTGATGGCAGCTTAATTGTCCCTGCCCATCCCTGCTGCATCTCCCCACCCTTTGATTTCCCCTTTGTTATGCCTGGGGCAGAGATTGCTTAAACGGGCAGTGGTGACACCCGATTAATCAGAGCCTCTGGAAAAATTCTCTTGCAAGTTTGCCCACGCCCCCTGCCACCCCTATCTTGCTTTCCTGTGGAACAGGCAGGAGCTCTAGCCACCACAGGCACAGCAGCAGCAGGGTCTGCTGGACTCTGCTCCCATTACACACAGCATTCCTTGACACCAGCCACACGTATGCCCTCCTCCAGCCCTCTCCTTTGCAGCCCAGCCCCCCTGCAACTTTGACTTTGCTTTTCCATTGACCTGAGCCCTTCCCACCAACCCTGTATGTTAAATTGCTAAAAAAATTAAATGAGACCAGTCTGAACCCACTCTCCTTCAGTGTAGTTTGGCTGCCTACCCTACCCCATATACTGCAGCCGTCAGCTCTTTGGTGCCAGGTCCGAGCACTTTTGGCTCCCCCAGCCTCTCTGCAGAGCAGAGACTCTGCTGGTGCTCACGGTGCTGGCTCGGTGCCTCGCCCACCCTCACCCAGCCATGGCATGCTGGAAAACACTGCCACAGCCAACACAAGGCAGAACTCTGCTCCAAATTGCTTGGTATGATTTTCTATTACCACTGTCACTTATATTTCCCTTAAAGAAGTAAGGCTTTATTACAGTGCACCTGAAATAAATCTATTTAATAGAATCAAAAAATCATAAAATGATAGAACAGTTTGAGTTGGAATTGGCCTTTAAAGGTCATCTAGTCCAACTCCCGTGCAATGAACAATGACGTCTTCAACTAGATCAGGCTGCTCAGAGAACCTAACCTTGAATGTTTCTAGGGATGGGGCTTCTACCACCTCCATGGACCACCTAATCCAGTGTTTCACCACCCTCATTGTAAACCATTTCTTTCTTAGATCCAGCCTATATCTACCCTCTTTTAGTTTAAAAACATTACCCCTTGTCCTATTGAAAGGCCCTGCTAAAAAGATTGTCTCCATCTTTCTTATATGCTCCGTTTTAAGTATTGAAAGGCTTCGAAAAGATCTCCCTGGAGCCTTCTCCGGGCTGAACAACCCCAACTCTCTCAGTCTTTCCTCATAGGCAAGATGTTCCATCCCCCTGATCATTTTTGTGGCCTTAGTTGGGACCTGCTCCAACAGTTCCATCTCTTTCCTGTGCTGAGGAGTCTTAGAGCTGGACACAGCACTGCAGGTGGGGTCTGACCAAAGCAGAGTAGAGGGCCAGAATCACCTCCCTCAGCCTGCTGGCCACGTTTCTTTTGATGCAGCTGAGGCTACAGTTGGTCTTCTGGGCTGCAAATGTACATTGACACCTCATGTCCAGCTTTTCATCCACCAGCACCCCCAAGTCCTTCTCCACAGGGCTGCTTGTAATCTCTGTATTGATACCAGGGGTTGTCCTGACCCAGGTGCAGGACTTTGCACTTGGCCTTGTTGAACCTCCTGATGTTCATGTGGGCTCACTTCTCAAGCTTGTCCAGGTTCCTCTGGATGGCATCACGTCCCTCAGGCACGTCAACTGCACCACTCAGCCTGGTATCATTGGCAAACTTGCTGAGGGTGCACTCGATCCCGCTATGTCATTGATGAGGATATTAAACAGCACTGGTCCCGACATGGACCCCTGAGGGACACCATTTGTCCCTGATTTCCATCTGGACGTTGAGCCATTGACCACTACCCTCTGAATGTGGCCATCCAACCAATTCCTTATCCACCGAACAGTCCACCCATCAAATCCATATCTCTTGAATTTAGAGAGCAGGATGTTGTGGGGGACTGTATCAAAGGCCTTGCAGAAGTCCAAATAGATG